CTCCTTTCTTCCTTCCTCTTTCCCTTCCTTCCTCCCTCCCTCCCTCCTTCCTTTCTTCCTTCCTTTCTCCCTCCTTTCCTCCCTCCCTCCCTCCCTCCCTTCCTTCCTTCCTTCCTTCCTTCCTTCCTTCCTTCCTTCCTTCCTCCTTCCCTTCCTCCCTCCCTCCCTCCCCCTTCCTTCCTCCCTCCCTCCCTTTCTTCCTCCCTCCCTCCCTCCTTCCCTCACTCCCTCCCTCCCTTCCTTCCTTTCGAAACAGGGTTTCTCTGTGCAGCCCTGGCTGTCCTAGAACTCATGCTGAAGACCAGGTGGCTTCAAACTCAGAGATCCGCCTGCCTCTGCCTCCTGAGTGCCGGGAGTAAAGGTGTGTGCCACCATCGCCTGGTTACTTAACAATTTTTCATTGAAGTCAAATGAGCAGCTCAAACAGCACTCACTAACCTTAAGGTCAAGCACCCTAACACAGTGCAGTCCAAAGACACACTTCTGTGAGGCTTATATATGCAAAATTGTTAAAAGTATTTGTTTTCCATAGTCAGGCCACTGTAGTTCATGAAGGACAGACAGCTTTGCACACTCAGTAAAAACACTGCATTTCCTAGCACATAGCGAGTGGTCTTGAGCCTGAGCCTGGCTGTTTCAGATAGCACTCGCTGGTGCTGGGTGAGACAGCGTTTGCAGTGTTTAAGTGTGCATGTGGCGTGTTCCGAAGGGAAGTCGCATGCCACAGCACCGTCAGCTCACCAGAAGGAAGCAGCTCATTGCGTATTTTATACTGAACTGATTTTCGTTTATTGTGTACTTTTCTCAATTTTTTTTATTGCTCCCCACATTCAGTTTTGTGATTCTATATGGGGTTGTGACCCTGTTTTAGAAGCTGCGTCCTGAAGAATAAATAGCTCTTAGAGAAATTTTTTTTAATTGAGGATTTTTTTTTTTAGAATAAGTCATACTAAGATCTGAGTCACAATCAGCGAAATCAACACAAGATAGGTTAACAACACCCTCTTTGTGAAGTTAGAGTGCTAGGTTTTACAAACTTGGAGTACTGCAGAATTGTTTACATCTCAGGGACCTGTCACAACCCAAGTGAAATACTAGACTCATGCTAATGTTTCTGCCAGTGGTGCTTTTCAGAGCTGGGGACCTTACCCAGGGCCTCCTGGGAGCCAGGGTGGTGCTTGCCACACCCCAGCCGAAGTTAATATGTGAAAAGGTCTTTACACGAGTGTTTCTGCCTCGGGTAAAAGCGGCTTAATGTGTTGCTTTCTGTCGGCATTTATATTTATAAAGAACTACAGAAAGTTCAGTCACATTTCTTGTCTCACCAGGGTGACTGCCCTGCCATCCGGAGTGCTGCAGATCTACGACGCTGGCCCAGAGGATGTTGGGAATTACCGCTGTGTTGCAGCTACAGTAGCTCATAAGCGTAAAAGCATGGAGGCCTCTCTAACCATAATTCCAGGTACCACAATAATGTTGGTTTTTCTCCCATTTTTATGAGATTTTTTTTGATTGCTCCATCTTGTTTTCCTCCTGGCTGTAATAGCATTCTGTCCGTCGGTACTTTGATGACATTTAAATTCTTGTAATAGACTTGGTTTGGGTTTGGTGTTTTAAGACAGAGACTTACTCTGTGTCCCATCCTAATCTTGAACTTGAATCCCTTCTATTTCAGCCTTCCTGAGAGCTAGGATTACCACTGTGCCTGGACTCTAAACTACTTAGAACACAGCCTTTTGTTAAGCAAATCTTTCCCAGGCAAATGTGTTTTCTGTGTCAACCTCTTTAAGAAACAGTTGCTTTGTAATTTTTCACTTTTGTTTTTGAAAGCATAGAATACAGAAAGGAACAAAAAGAGAATGTCCCTTGCCAATAAAGATGTTTGTTTCCAATGTAATACTCTTCCACTAGAATTAACTGCTGATGGATAAGCTTTTTGGAGGTGATGTGACAGATTTTTTCCTGGGGAGACCTCCCCCCAAATAGAGATCCCACTACAGACCAAAGTATAGACACCCCAAAAGTCCAGCTTGGTGAACCAGTGAGTGTTATTGGGGTTACTTACAGGAATATGGGTGAGGGGTTATTTCCAGGAGCAGAAGTGATTCAAAGACAGCTGTATCACAGAGCCCACCCCAGCCAGCCTGGCCCCCGGTTCAGTAAGAGACCCTGCCTCACAGGAAAAGTGGAGAGTGACGAAGCAGGGTACCTGACGTTCTCCTCTGGCCTCTGAACATGTGCCCACAGGCAAACACACACAGGAAGGAAGGAAGAAGGGAAGGAGGGAGAAAGGAAGGAGGAAGGAAGGGAAGGAAAGGACCGAGAGGCACCCACCTGTAACCCCAGTACTCATGGGGTAGAGACAAGGAGTTGAAGATCAGCCTGTGTACAGGGAACTGGAAGCTAACCTAGGCCACCTGAGGTCCTGTCTCAAGAAAATGAAAAGAATAAATGCAAAGGTAGATAAGAATTGGTGTTTTACTGTGCTTCCGACGATTTGCTTACATATCCTGCCTTTTTCTGCCCAAGCTAATGAGTCCAGGTCCTTCTACACGCCAACTATTGTAGCCAGCCCGCAGAACGTGACCGCGGCCCTGCACCAGACCGCCGTGCTCGAGTGTATGGCCACAGGCTACCCCAAGCCCATCATTTCCTGGAGCCGCCTCGGTGAGTCCTCCTCACCGGGGATGGGAGGCGAGGGAGTCCTCGCCTTGAGCTTTATTCCTTTTAATGAAACTGATAAAGTGTGTGTTTTGTAGATAGTGCTCATTTGGCAGTTGCCTCTGAAAGGCCTCTTTTTAGTTTTGCGATATGAGGAAAGCTTATGCTCCTGAGAATTTAACGAACGATGTCGCAGACACCAGTCTTCTGGCGTAAGTTCAGATGAAGCGCATCGTCTCAGCTCCCGTGTTCTCTTTGAAACAGATCACAAGTCCATCGACGTCTTCAATACTCGGGTGCTTGGGAACGGCAATCTCATAATATCCGATGTCAGGCTGCAGCACGCCGGAGTGTACGTTTGCCGCGCCACCACCCCCGGCACGCGCAACTTCACGGTTGCTATGGCAACTTTAACTGTGTTAGGTATGTAGCTTTTCTGTAATCAGAGACGCTTTCGCTTTCCTTTTAACGTTGTCCTTGGTTTTCCTTCCTAAGGTTTTGGTTTTAATTGCATGTATGTGTGTGTCCGTGCAGTGTCCAGAGAGGGCAGAAGAGGGTACCATCCCTGGAGCTGGGGTCACAGGAGGATGGATGTAAGCTGCCCAGTGTGGATGCTGGGAACTGAAGTTGGGTTCTCTGTAAGCTCTTTAACATCGAGGCACCCTCCGGGCCCTTGTGGCAGCAGTGACAGGGAAGTTAATAATAAGAATTGTAAACGCCAACAGTGATTAAATACAGCTCTAGAATCATGCTGACGTCACCATGTTTGTGTGCACGGCGTCATCCTCCTCCCTAAGCCTCCTTTTCACTGTTGTCCATCCACATTTCTGTAACAATGTGAACTTCTTCACCTCTTAGTGACTCTTTCTATTCACAAGTGCCCTCTCCCTGGGTTTAGTTGAGATGGGTTGTGGGCATGTCAGCGTGTTCACAGGTGGCCTCAGCGAGATTAGGTGGGTGCTGAACATTAGAGAGAAACTCTCCTGGTTTTTTTTTTGTGTGTGTGTGTGTGTGTGTTTTTTTCTATTGCTGTGATAAAATATCTTACCATCTCTAGAAAAACAAAAACAAAACAATTTAGGGGAGAAAGGGTTAATTTTAGCTCGCAGTTACTTCCAGATTACAGTCCTTCATTGGGGGAAATCAGAAGAACTTCAGACAGCTGTCCACCCCCCACCTGTAGTCAGGAGGAGCGTGAAGCAAATGCCTGCGTGTTCCCTCGCTTGTTGGTACTCAGCACGATTGGTGCTCTACTCCGTACAGGTCAGGGTTCCCTGCCTAGGGAATGGTGCCGCCTACGCTGGACTGTGCCCTCCCATAGCAGGGAGACAGCCCTCCACAGAGGAGCCCACAGGCCAACCCAGTGTAGATAGTCCCTCCCCGAGGCTCGGTTCCAGGGGATTCTAGGTTGTGTCAAGTTGACGGTCAAAGCTGCCGTCACAGGTGCCTAACTAGCTGTCGGAGACGCAGACTGCTAGATGTCTTTGCGCGTGGGACCACCTCGTTCTCGTGTTCCCTTTTCACTCTCTCTTGTCATTCTTACTGAAACCACAGTATATGTACATATATTTTTTCCCTTTAAAATAGCTCCTCCTTCGTTCGTCGAATGGCCTGAAAGTTTAACGAGGCCACGAGCAGGCACAGCACGGTTTGTGTGCCAAGCGGAGGGAATTCCCTCACCCAAAATGTCCTGGTTGAAGAATGGGAGGAGGATACATTCAAACGGCAGGATTAAAATGTACAACAGGTAAAGCCTTGCTACTTTGCTACCATTTTTAAATAAAATAATGCCCTTTACTAATTTTTACATGAAATCAGGGGATAGCAACATCAAATCACCACATAATCTTGACAGCTAATACTAGATGCAAGAATTTAGGGTTATAGCATCAGCGTGTCATTGTCCTTTTGCATTTTATGCGTGGATCCAAAGTGTGTGTAACTTTTACGTCTGTAACATTTTCATTTAGCTGAACAAAACTGTGAATTTTTTGTTGACCTGAACTTTATATGTGCATGACAATATGAGTTACATATAGACTATAGAATAGAGTAATAACTAAAGCCATTTCTTAAAAAGTGATTGAAGCAAAGAGAATTCAGCTACCATAAATATTAATGAAGGCTGAGGCTATAAATCAGAATAATTTTAGGTAATTAATGTAGATTATTTTAAATTAGAAATGGTTATTCTCGGTATGTTCTGGTATAAGGTGAAAGTGTATTTAACAATAGCTTTTGAATGTCATTATCAGGTTTGTTTGCTTGTTTTTTATGGGTATAAATATTTTTTTTCTTTCCCCAGCAAACTGGTAATTAACCAGATTATCCCAGAAGACGATGCCATCTATCAGTGCATGGCTGAAAACAGCCAAGGATCTGTCCTGTCTCGAGCCAGACTGACCGTGGTCATGTCTGAAGATAGACCCAGCGCTCCTTACAACGTCCATGCCGAAACCATGTCCAGCTCTGCCATCCTTCTAGCGTGGGAGAGGCCGCTGTACAACTCAGACAAGGTCATCGCGTACTCTGTGCACTACATGAAAGCCGAAGGTAGGCAGCTCGGAGACCGTCGGTGAGCGCCGCTTGCTGGCGTGGGTTTGTTCTCGGGGGGGGCTCAGCTGGTAAAGTGCTTGCCTGACAGGCGTGAGGCCCCGGGCGTGACCCCCAGGACTACAGAGACTTGGTGTGGTGCCTCACGCCTGTGGCCCTAACACTGGGAGCGAGAGGCAGGCAGCTCAGAAGTTTAGAGTCACCCTCCGCCATGTAGCAAATGCGAGGCCAGCCTGGGCGACATGAGCCCCTTTCTCAAGCAAACCAAAACAAACAAAATACTTGTCTTCAGAATGAGCAACGGCTTACTTATGTAAGCGAAATCTCAGCTCTTCTAAGGTCCCAATGACAAATGAAAGTTTGTTCCACAGAAGATTTGTTCCTAGAAGTTCTAGGGCTGGCTTAGAGAACATGTGTGAGGAGCTACTGACAGGATCAGGAATAACCCCCAAAGCAGCCACACAGCCATCTTTATCCCATGTGGATAATGGCTTTCCCATAGCCAAAGAGATGGAGCCCCCCCCTTCCTCTAGCCCTGTAGTCTCCAGACTCTGTACTCTAGCCCCTTGCTCAGACCTCAAGGCCCTGTGGTTTTGAGTTGGCTTAGGGCTGAGTTGGCTGTGAGCAAAAGTGGCTGGATACTCACAAGAGGATGCAATGACCTGCCCCATACTCTTCTTCTTGTTGGTGAGGGGTGGGGGCAGGATGTCAGCAGTCAGCAAGGCCTGCTGTGATGGTCTTTGCGAGCAGACCCAGCTAGTCTTGTGAAGACGTTCTGTGTGGAGAATGATGGTAATTTTGAGATACAGTCTCACTTTGTTGCCCTGAGTGGCCTAGAATTTACTATGTAGACTAGCTGGTCTCAAACTCAGAGATTCACCTGCCTCATGAGTGCTGGGATCAAAGACATGGACTCTCACACCTAGCTATCATGCTGGTTTTTAGGGAAATGTCAGTATGTAAAATTCTGCGTTTTTGTTTTGTTTTTGATACAGTGTCTCTCTGTGTAGTCCTGGCTGTCCTGGAACTCACTATGGAGACCAGGATGGCCTCAAAATCTGAGATTCTCTTACCTCTGCCTCCTGGGTGCTGGGGTTAAAGGTGTGTACTGCCGCCACCCTGCCAAATTCTGCAATTTTTTACTTCTTTGTTATATTGAACGTTTTTATTTTGAATGAAAATTAAACCCGATAGGCTGGGGTATAGCAGAATTGTAGAATCCTTGAATAGCTTGTGTAAGGTCCTGAGCTCAATCCCCAGTACCACTGAAAAGAAAAAAAAATGTTATGAGAGAACAAGACATTTTTGTCATATCTCTTTTCCTGTGTCAAATTAAATGTCAGCAGCTAGAGAGGCAGCCTCAGTGGTTAGGGCCCTTTCTCTGGTTCTGCCGAGGACCTGGGTTAGGTTCTCAGAACCGTCTCACCTCGGCCTACAGCTCTCACTCTAGGGGATTCAACAGTTCTGTTCTGGCATTCTTTGGCCCCAGGCACATAGGTAGTGCACATACATACATGGAGACAGTCACGTACACGTGAAACAAAAATGGGTCAGTCTTTCTAAAAAATAAGTATCAAATCTCTTAGAATTCTTACTTAGAATTACTGGTTCCACTTTGGGGATTAAGAAAAAAAAAAGACCTATTTTGCCTTACTCTTAGACAAAATTGTGACAGAAACAGGGGAGCTGTTTACAAACCCTAGCGGTTTCTCCGTTGACTCGGGTTTACAAATGCTAGTTTTATACAGAAGCAGACAGGTGCTTTGCTCCTCGCGGCTGTTGGGTTTTTACGCAGCAGTGTTTTGAAAGGGGATGTTTTGAATGTAAATCAAGGGTCCTGGTAGCGAGAAGAATGTTCTGGTGAGAGCACGCTGGAGTGTGTTCATTCTCTGTGCTGACTTAGGAAGGTGAAAGGATGCTGCGTTTGGCGGGGCCCACTCTTGTTCACTATTGTGCCGGTTTCATTAGAGCCCCTGCATGCCGCTCAGCATTCCATTCAGGGCAGAACAAGGCCTTTTAATTTGAATTCAAGGACTTTGTTCAGTAGGTCAGAAATTGTACTGTGCAGTTCCTAATTAACGAGCCATTAGCCGGCGTGTTGTGAAACGCCTCTAATCTTGTCTAATTAAAATGCTATGAAGTTAATTCAGAAATGTGGGAAAACTCCATGCTGGAATGTGCCTTCTGTTTTGTTTATAAATCCAGTGCGGGGAGAAGGGGCCGGTGCTGAGAGAGGTTTGATAGAGCTGACAAGCACTCCCTGTAGGCCGCGCACAGTAGCCGGCGCGGCTGTGGCTCCTTTCTCCACGTCTGCACCACAGGAATTAAGCCGGCACAGGCAAATCCTCTTCTGTATCTTGCCTTGCATATTGTATTCAGAATTCCTGAGAATTTGTTTCCCTCCTTAAAAAAAAAAAAAAAATCCTGAGCACTCACCATGGGACAAAACATTCTGAGCCCATCCTTCCGTTTAACTTTTAGCATTAAAAAAAAAAAAAAAAAGTCTGTGTTGGCCCATGGAGTATGTTCTATATTGGCAGAATGAGATTCTTTACAGCCTAACTTTTCCTTTGGTTTGTTTTTGTAAAAATCAGACTCTCTGCATTCCCCATGATCTTTATTTTGAATATTTGTCTTTTTTTTTTTTTTTTTTTTAAAGCAGGATTTCTCAGTGTAGCCTTGGCTGTCCTGGAACTCGCTTTGTAGATCAGGGTAGTGTCAAACTCACAACGATCCGCCTGTCCCTGCCTCTCAAGTGCTGGGACTAAAGGCATGCGTCACTACTGCCTCACTGACTATTTGTCGTTTTAAGACATGGCTGCTTTGGCCTAGGTTTAAACAACGAGGAGTACCAGGTGGTCCTTGGCAATGACACGACGCATTACATCATCGATGACTTAGAGCCCGCCAGCAACTACACTTTCTACATCGTTGCATACATGCCAATGGGAGCCAGCCAGATGTCGGATCACGTGACACAGAACACGCTGGAAGACGGTAAGAAAACAGTTCTGGGGCATCAGGTGTGAGCCTTTGTAGCTTTGGTCACTTTCAGGGCGTGAGTCTGTTCGGGTAAATGGAAAGAGTTCTGTTAGCCACAGCCCAGTTGCTCTCTCGGCTTTGCCTTTTGCTGTCTTCTGACTTCCGTGGGCACTGCAGGCACATACGCAGGAACACTCCTAAAGTAACTCTTTAAGAGAGAGCATAGATGAATTTAAAAAAATAATACGAGATTTTCTAGGCCACACATGCGTGCGCTCGGACCTCCCCCCCCCCCCCCCCATGGTCAGCGTCTCCTCCCTCAGCAGTTAACTCCTTTTTTTTTTTCCAAGACCAGGTTTCTCTGTGTAGCCTGTCCTGGACCTACTCTGTAGACCAGGCTGGCCTCCAACTCACAGAGATCCACCTGCCTCCGCCTCCCAAGTACAGTTAAAGGCATGTGCCACCATGCCCGGCTGTTTAACTCCTTTTATAAAGGGACCTTAGAGACTTTTCCAAGCTTGGGCTTCCCAGATTGGACACATCACGTTACCCTCTGCGTCTCATGAGCTTCTCTCCCTCTTGAAAGAAGTACTTCAATTTGGAGGAAGACGCCGTACGGCACCAGCGGGTGTTCACGCTTTCACATGTACACATGTAAAATAAATATAATAATTAAAAAAAAAAACCCCTCCCAGTTGTAATTCTAGATCCTGGGTTTCCTTGCTCTCCTGTGACTCACTCTCCCTTGCTGCAGGAGGGATTTTGGTAGACTGATTTGTGTTTTTGTCTCAGAATATATGATTAGCAGATGTGTCCATATTCATCTCAGGTACCCACCTAACCAGCAGACTGATAGGCATACTTTTACTGCACCCTCCTTGTGGTTCCTTTCTGGCCGGAAGTCGGCCTCGCTGAGATGCTCTGCTCCAGCCAGAAGCATCTCCACCGTATTAAGCAGATTCCATAAGTACGACTGCGCTGAGTGGCAACTTGATGGTAAATCTTTGTGAACAACACATTTGCTCATTTCACTAGTGCCCCTGAGACCTCCGGAAATCAGCTTGACGAGCCGGAGTCCCACCGACATTCTCGTCTCCTGGCTGCCAATTCCGGCCAAGTACCGGCGGGGCCAAGTGGTGCTGTACCGTCTGTCCTTCCGCCTGAGCACCGACAATTCCATCCAAGTAGTGGAACTCCCGGGGACTGCGCACGAGTACCTTCTGGAAGGCCTGAAGCCTGATAGCGTCTATCTGGTCCGGATTACGGCTGCTACCCGTGTGGGGCTGGGAGAGTGGTCGGTGTGGACCTCACACAGGACGCCCAAAGCCACCAGCGTAAAAGGTAACACCTCCCAAGGACTGTTCAGGAAGAGGAAGAATGTTTTTACCTTTGATTTAGAATTTTTCACTTGTAGTTACATGTCATCTATCTGTATCTATGTAGACATGAGTATATACATTAAGGTTCTTATTTTCGGTTTTATGTGTATGGGTGTTTTGCCTGCCTGCATGTCTACCTCTTGTGTGCAGGGCCCACGGAGGCCAGAAGAAGACGTCCAAACCCTGGGACTGAGTAACTGATGGTTGTGACCTGCTATGTGGATGCTGGGAATTGAACCCTGGTCCTCTGGAAGGGCAGCCCACGCTCTCCACTGTTGAGTCATCTCTCCATCCCATATTTTAAGTTTTTGTTTTCACGTTTGCAAATAGGACATGGATTATGAACTTAATTGAGAAGAAACCTAAACCTGTCCTTGGGACTGGCGCTCAGTAGCCGGTCTTGGGGCTCACCTCCACTGTCCCATAACGCCAGCACGCTAGAGAAGGAGAGGCAGGAGGATGGCGGGTTCGTTGTTGGCTGTGGTTACTGAGTCCGAAGCTGGAGTGGGATATGAGAACCCATCGGAAGAAAAAAGGGCCAGAAGAGGAGTGGGGCTGTATTGTGGTCATAGGGTGTCAGCCTAGCCGTGAACAAGGCCCCGGGCTCACAAATAAACTGAGTAATTGATTAAACTTTCCTGTTTGCTGCTACCTTCTCGCCTCAGACAGTGTGGATAGGGCTGCTGCTGACAGTGTTTGCTTAGCAAACCCTTCGTGGCTCAGTCAGTCCCAGGCAGGTTGGACACCGGAAGGAGCCCAGGAACTGAGACCTAGCAAGTAGTATTGTGTGTTTTTAAATCATCGGTTCAAAAGACGGGTCCAGTCGTAGGATGTTACTCACATGGAGTCCAGCGTGACTGGTCTGTTTTCATTTGACTGAAAATATTCTGTGGCATTAATAGTGAATAGTAGAACACATGCATATACATATAAATATGTATGTACATATACAAATATAGATATTATGTTGTGACTTACATGTCTTAGTCTTTTAGGTAGTTTATTTTAAATCCTATATCCAAGCTAAACATCACTGTGAAATTTGTAAAAGTAATACTTGTGTGTGTGTGTATACATGCATTTGAAGTGTGGAAAGCAGAGAACTTGTGGGGGTTGGTCTCTTCCACATTGTTGGACCTGGGAATCGAACTCAGGTCATCATATTTGGCAGCAGCCCCCTTTACCCACTGAGCCATCCTGCTAGCTTGTCACTGTGAAATCTTGAGCATTGGCTCAAAGTGTGATGGTTGGACTTTGTGCGTTTGGCTGCCCTCTGAAGGGCCGTGGGCTGTTGACACAGTGCTGTCTGGTGAACTCTTCCAGCCCCGAAGTCTCCTGAACTGCATTTGGAACCGCTGAATTGCACAACCATCTCCGTGCGGTGGCTGCAAGACACCGAGGACCCGGCTGCCATTCGGGGCTACAAGCTGTTCTATAAGGAGGAGGGGCAGCAAGAGAACGGGCCTATTTTCCTAGACACCGGTGATCTGCTGTATACGCTCAGTGGCTTGGGTGAGTGTGTCTGTCTGTATCAAGCCGATCCCTTTATTCTCCTGCTGCGGCTGACTGGGAGAGGGTTATTGGATGAGAGGATTGATGGGATACGACAAAGAATCGATTTATCCGTGCCGCTACCCAGTTCTTCTTGAACTGGCAGGGTTTCTGTTTTCCTCCTGCTCCAGGGCTGTGGTTATCTTGCTGAGGATGACTTTTGGTGCAGGGAGATCCTGACTCGTTATTGTGGGTATGTGATGGGATTAGATTGGGATTGTAGGGCCCGCCAAAATGGCTTAGCAGACAAAAGCACTTGGTGTGCACCTGATCGCCTGAGCTCAGTCCCCTGGTGTCAGGGTGGATGGCGGGAACTGACTCCCAAAAGTTAGCCTGTCCTCCACATGTGCGCGGACATGCAGATGCCTGTATTCACGTGTACATGTGCCTGTATGCAACACACATAAAACAGAGTAAGACTGTAGAGTGAAGATTTTGCGAAATGTTTGAATAATACTAAGTATGTTTAATTCAGAGTTTGTCTGGGCGCTGTACTGTTATCGGTATAAAACAGTTTACATAAGTGATACATAATAATGCCCTTTCCTCTGCCCCACGTGACTGTGAATATTTACTCCGTGGACTCGGACACACTGGAGATAAAACACTGAGCTCAGTGTCCTCAGAGACACTGGCTGTCCTTCTTTCCTAACCTTTATGTGGGAGGAGAACTCCATGATGTGACCGTTTGTAACGGATTATGAGAGGGCTGGGGGTGTGGCTCAGGGGTGGAGTGCTCGCCTGGCATGCTCGAAGCCCTGGGCGTAATCCTCAGCTCGGGAATGAGAGAGGAGGGGGACGCTCAGATGGAGACAGGCACACGGGGAGGTCACTGGGCTGTTGTGCTATCTTACGCACACAGTAGGCGTTTGTAGAGCGCTGTGGCTTCTCCTTTTAGATTACCAGCTCTTGGGGATGAGGTAAGGGGAGAGGCCCGGTGGTCGAGGTGTGGGCCGTCACAGTTTCCATCCCTGGCTCGACGGGACGTGCTGTGGACCTGTTCCTGCATGCAGGAACACAGAAACCCATCCCGTGGCCCCTCGCCATACTCCAGATGGCGGTGTGCTTGTAATCTTATTGTTCGGTTTTTAATTTAATCTGCATTCGGGTAAATGAATTTACTGTCGATCTCTGTCATGAAGCTTATAAATGATGAGAAGTGGCATATGGTCCGGGGCGAGCTTCTTTAATCCACTGGTTACGATGGTGTTCGCCCAGCCTCTCGGGCCCCCGCCTTCCATGTTTATGTGCCCCTGTGGCTTCTCAGTGTGGCCTCCCTTTCCATGAGCTCATCATTGCTGAGAGGGGACTTGTTTTTGTATCCAGTAGGAAACAGGCTATGGGAAAATTGATGAAAAGCCGTAGATCAGGGCTGGAGCGGTTAAGAGCTTGTATGGCTACGGCAGAGCACCAGAATTTGGTTCCCTGAATCCAAGTGACAGCTCACAACCACCTGTAAATGCCACTCCAGGGGTCTCCTGAACTCACACATAAACACTCCTGCAGACACATAAATAAAAATAATTTTTAGGGGCTAGAGCTGTGGCTCAACAGTTAAGAGCACTTGCTGCTGTTCCGGAGGACACAGACACTCCTAACCATCTGTAACTCCAATGCCGGGGGATCTGACAATCTCTTTTGCCCTCCAGGGCACCAGGCACACATGTAGCACACAGACACACAGACACACAGACACACATGCAGGTAAAATACTCATATGTATAAAATTAACAGACGTTCGAAAATATACAAGGAAAACATTCGTAGATCAAACTAAGTCCCTTGGTTTTTCTCATTTGTTAAAGAAGTTGAAATATGTAGGAGAAACAGAGCTATCTTACTCAGCATCCTTCTTGGGCGTTCGTTCCGGCTAGCTTACCCTTAAGAGTCATGTACTTGGTTAGGAAACAAAGAATGAAATAAGCTCTGCTCTTCCAAGAAATTTAGAGAAATGTTAAGACTGGCAGGAAGGGGGCATGGTGGCGTACATCTGTAATCCCAGCACTCTGGAGAGGGAGACAGGAACATGAGTTTAAGATCGTCTTCAACCATGTGGCAAGTTCAAGGACAGCCCGGAATGCATGGTGGCATGTCTCAGAAAAACATGAACAAAACAAAAAAAACCCCAACAGTTAGAAAATTCTTTAACATCTCACTAAGATTTGTTACTGTTTTTATCGTGTGCCCGTATCTGTGTGGGACTATGGGCAGGGAATGCCCTCCGAGGCTGGAAGGGGATGTCGGATCCCCTGGAGGTGGGTTGAGCTGCCCAGTGTGGGTACCGAGAGCTCGGGTCCTCTGGAAGAACGGTGTGTGCCTTAACTGCCAAGCCATCTCTCTAGCCCCAATTAGTTAACATTCCATTTTTTTTCTAGAGACGCATGTAGATAATCTATGAATGGAATTAATAAGGAAAAGATACAAATATAGAGAAGTGTTCATCAATTCGTTCATTTGGAGAGAGGTGGAGGATGGGTGGTAGGCCCACAGATTTTTTTTTTTAACTCTTACGCTCTTTAGACAATAACTTTCAAAACTATATACCATTATTTTCTCTTATGCTTTAAAAAATCAGTTCCATGGGGCCATCGAGATGGCTCAGTGGTAAATACTTGAGGAGAGTTGAGTTTGAATGCCCAGAACCTATGTAAAGCTAGACATGGTGTCATGTGACCGTAATCCCAGTGTGCCCACACACACATGGGGACAGGAGACTCTTGGAAGCTCATGGGACAGCACCAGTCGGCTAGATAAACTGGCCAGCAAGCCCCAGGGACCTCCTGCCTGCCTCCCCAGTGCTGGGTTGTGTTTTCATCTGTGTGCTTCTGGATCCAAACAGAAGATCCTCTCATACTAGTAAGGCAGGCATGTTGTTGACGGAGCCATCTCTCCAGGCCCCTAAAGTCACCCTAAATGCCAACATGATTTGGGGATGGTGAACTCGCCAGCGCCACTCTAAGTAGCTACGTGCTTCCTGACTGCGGATTTAGTCTGATTAGATTGCTTGAGTCGGAGGTGACAAGGCCTCTGTGGCCGTAGGTGCTGCCTCTCCAGGCATTGAGGTTAGGCCCCCTGCGTCTGCGAGTAGTGAGTGACCCGAAAGGCTGGCAGGAATGCACTTATGTGGGTTCAAGTGCTGTTCAGCTGCTGAGCAGACTGCCTCCAAGGTGCCTTCCAACCTGAGACCCCCTGATTCTAATCTTTGTTATTAAGTTCCCACCAGGGCCTGGCCAGGCTTTTGGCAGGCAAGCGTTAAAATGTGGGAAGGGAAGGGTGTTCTATGGAAGGGACAGCTGACCATCTGGGACCATTTTTAGCCAGAGCATCTGGCAGTGGCTGCCTGTTTAACAGAGAGTGATGTGTCCAGAGGGCAGTAGGTTAAGGGAGCCCTGTCTGTGCCTTTGCCTGGTGAATGCCGGCTTTCACAGAGCCGCTGCCTGGGAAGGGTGCTCCGGGTAGGGCCAGCTTCACTAAGTGGGCTTGGAAATGAATTCACCTGCCTCTACGTGCTGATCGAGTGTCAATTTTGTGTAACAAACTGTTCTCGCAAAATTTCATTTTCACACTAACTCCCCTCTAATGCCTGTAGGACCCCTCCCCCCTTCCTCGTGTGCAATCTCATTTCTGGTAATTAAGTTTTCAATTCAAAAAGTAGGTTGTTGGGACACAGTCTCCCTAGAAATATGCACTGTTTTTTGTTCTACAAGACAGAAAAGCAAAATGGATTTATATCTTTAAGTTAGGGAGTGTTTTAATTAAAAAAAAAAAAAAAAGATGATGAAAAGATGAGAGGCCCAATTTCCCTTAAAACAGGAAAGATGAAGCCAAATGCTGTTTAAATGGCCTCCAGTGTTCCTGCAAACACCCAGCGAACGGAATTTAATTGGAATTATTAGTGGGAGGTATTTTAGATCATTTCACGCTAATACCACAAAACTCAGTTTTGTTTTTTTTTTTAATTTTTTATTAATTACACTTTATTCATTTTGTATCCCCCCCATAAGCCCCTCCCTAAAACTCAGTTTTTTAACATGTGGAGAGTGCTTTGTCTATGAGTTGAAGAAATTCTCATGTCTTTAAAAGTAAAATATAAAATAGTACATATATATTATAATACATGTAGTATATAAAATATAATAGCGTATGGTAAATAATATATAATAGTTTAGTGTAGTGTATAATTGCTTTATATGTACAACGCCTGGGGTTCAATTACCAGCATTTGGACATAAAGTGTGATATGAATTTACATGGTGGAGAAGAAGTACTTTAGTGTTTCTAGTTTGCTTGGGCTTGACTTTAGAATGCGGTTTGCTTTCCTGGGATCTGGCCTGCTTTGTCGGAAAGAAAGAAGCTTTAAACTTGTGATGTCATCATTTGGGACTCCTGAGTGCTGTGCTCAGGGTCCTTCAGGATTTACTCATATTTTTTCTTTTCTTCTCTGAGTGTTCATCTGAGTTAAAGATAATATTTGTCACACAATAAGCAAAAATAACATTAATGACATCTATGTTCCCTGATAGTAGATTGAAAAAAATGTCCTCTTTATTTCTTTTTTGTTTTGTTTTTTTGAGACAGGGTTTCTCTGTGTAGCCTTAGCTGTCCTGGAACTTGCTCTGGAGACCAGGCTGGCCTCAAACTCACAGAGATCAGCCTGCCTCTGCCTCCTCAGTGATGGGCTCTGGGGATTAAACTTAGTTTGCCAGTCTTGGCAGCAAGTGCCTTTACCTGCTGCGCTCTCTCAGCAGCCAGAGGAGGAGGCTTAAAGTTCTGAAGTTGGTGTATCTCTTTCCACAAGCCAGTACCACTAGAGATGTTTCTTCAGATTCATTCATTCAACTTGGAAAGCCCCTGCCCACTGTCCAGTCTTCCTGGAATCGTCTTGGGAACCCAAAGATATCCATCTTACCCCCACCCCTACCTTGCCACAGCCCGTCATTTCCAGCATCCTGACAGATCAG